GAGTCAGAGTTTTCAGCCATCTGGGGTGCATTATCCTCCGTGGGGCTGAAGTGGTATAGACCCCCCTCATCTGTGAAAATCCTTTTCCTGTCCCCTCTCTATTTCAAATTCCTGAATCCGCCACAGTTAATGGTGTGATAGTTCTCTTATATTCTTAAATCAATATTTCAATATACCGTACCAAAATACAGAATAAGCACTTTGTCATATACATTTAATTGTAGACATTCGTGTCCAAATTCCAAATATTGACTGATCGATCGGTTGGTTGGTTTGTTGATTGATTGATTGATTGGTAGGTCGGTTTATCGGTCGATTGATTGATTGATTGATTTGCTTTATGATTTGATTTTTATAAAAGACAATCCCGTAACCATAGCTTCTGGTTCGGTCACATCCCCAAACTCCTCACAACAGCTTTACTCTCGAGCCCATCCTGCTCATTCTCTGAACCGCCGGGCCTAAAGGAACCACCTCCACGTCGAATCCTAGTTGTGGATCTGCGGGGAGTAGGCCACAAAAAATCATATCGAAATTTGACTACTCCATTTTTTTTAGAATCCTTCCCACAATAAGCAGAAATAATACAGTGCAGACACCCTAGCTTTAGACATAAAAAATGTTAACAATTATCGGAATTTACAATTCAAATGGAAGAAAAATACAAGACATCAAACGGATGTTTACAAACTTATTTGATACGACATCCGGCATATCACATCATCATCCAATAATGATGACTTATACACATCTAGATGTGTATAAGAGACAGGATATATACTCCATAAACTAAACGCTGCTCTTGTTTGGGTGCTTTACAAATTTCACAGCATTCCAATATGTTTGATATATTCTTTCTTTCTCTTTTACATAAGCGAGCCCGGCACGCGACACTCTTGGCGCCAATATGGTCACCATATTGCTACAACCAAGGCCAATCACTTTGGACAAATTGTAGGCCTACACACAGTAACTTAATGTAGAAAATGTGCTGCTGACGTAATTCTAAATGCGTAATGATCCGATAGGTTACGTTGTTTTCGAGCTCCACCCGTGAAAATTTGTTTTAATACTCCATTAATGCTTTTATCAATTATTTTAATTTTATCATTCTTACCGTTCTATCGATTTCATAAATGTTATCATTTTACTTCTGCATCATTTTCATCAATGTTATAGTTTTATCATCAATTGTATTATAAATTTTATGAAGTGTATCATCAATTTTATGAATTTTATTATTAATTTTATCATCAACCTTTCCAAATTCTCAATTTTAACTTAATAACTGACCAATCAGAAAAGGACCAGGAATACGCGCATGTCCCACTAACCAGTAATTTTACGTACTTTTCACGCCGACTTTTATGGGACCCTGTTATCCGTGGGTGGGGCTTAAATACCTAATGTTGATGCTAGATTTGACCTAGGCCTCGTGATGAGCATTGGAATCACCATTGAATTGCAATCTGGAAAAGCAAAAGGCCTGAAACCTAGGCTAACAATGATGACTGGTTGATATATCAGCATTGGGCTGCCAACACCCTTGATGAACAGGGCAGGAGAAAATGAGACAAATGATGGGACTTGAAAAGAAAGAAACAAATTAATTGCCCTGTGTGTTGAAATATGTAATGATGGTGAATATCAATTTCGAATAAAATTAACGTCCCAAGTATTAGAATAGAAAACTTCAATGTAAACTTATGGTTCGTACAATTATTGTAAATTGTCACTAATCATGTAGGCCTCTACTATGACATTTAACGTTTGCGAATATTATTATTATTTATGCAGGTAGGTTGGTTTTATAATGAAAAATAAATAAATCTATTCAACTGAACTTACGTAACGCATTTTTGTGACTATATATCACGTCCGATCCATACATCAGTCGACCTAAAGTGGGTCCTAGATCGGACATATTATTTAACCAGGCCTATAAATAAAATAATGATATATTTTTATCCCTAAGACAATAGGCCTACATTTCTTATTCTGTAAATGAACTGAGCTTGGCTTACAGAATAAAATAAGGAAGAAAGTATCATTACATAGGGCGCTATTATAACTCAGCATATGGGTTCATGCAACAAATACTGACTAGTAGCAATTCTCTTTATTTGATTATATAAACTGATGCTCTTGATGTTTAACGATTCAACTTGATTGCACATCCTTGGGGTATGCGGATCAATAGGACCTTAGTGGAGTAACGCCCCTACCCGGTATAGTTCGGTTAGGGTAAGGTATTAGGCCACGGGTCATTAGGACCTTAGTGAATGAAGTAACGTCCCTACCTCGGTAATGCATAATTCGGTTAGGATGGGGTATGCGGGTCATTAGGACCTTATGAGTAAACGCCCCTACCCCAGTAATGCGTAGTTCAGATAGGATGGGGTATGCGGGTCTTTAGGACCTTAGTGGAGTAACGTCCCTACCCCTGTAATGCATAGCTTGGTTAGGGTGGGGGTATGCGGGTCATTTGGACCTTACGGAAGTGACGTCCCTAACCCTGAATGCATACTCTTTGTATCCGATATTTCTTTTTGTCTTTTGATATTGTATTGATATGGATATGTGATTCCGAATAAAAGTTGAATTGAATTGAATAGGCCTAACTGGTTGGACACAATACCATTTTTATCAGGCACTAAGATTAGCATATATATCGCCACCAACGTTGTAAATTATCGACTGTTGAGTTTAGTGAGACCTGGCTTTGAAAGCCTAAGAAATGTTTATACAGTATTGTATAGCATCTATCAGTTGTAGCTTCTTATCCCCTACTCCATCATATTCGATGATCTCTTAGCTTCTTTCTACGTGTTTCCGATGTTCGTGGCGTGATGGAATCTCATTGTTTCCAACACATCGAATGGTCTGTCAGTGAACATAGAGGGTGCTAGGAACAAGGTCGGGACCACCATTACCTTTGTTTTTGAAAACCTGTTCACCTGTGATCGACAAAGGTGCTCGTGCGCGTACTTGAAACGGGAAGGTGTTGTTGAGATGCCGATGCACTTGTTTTTATATGCCTACAATCAGGCCAGCATGGTTATGTAATCGACAATACAACCAGTAATTATACGGAAATGGCAAATTGGTAAATTAAGCTTATGCATATGGCGTTCGCATTGCAGATTTACCCTTATCTTAAAAAGTATATATATATATGTGGCTGCTCGTTGTTTTTATGGGTTTATCCCATTTGCCATTAAATTTTTTTGGGGGTTAAAAAAAGGAAAAAGAAAAAAATGATAGCCCACAACGCCTCAAATGTTATTTTCGAGCGTCTAGAACACAAAAATTTCGGACCCCCTAGGTCATCGTTGTCTCCATCGGCCCAAATTTCGGCCCCCCCCCCCCTTTTTGGACATCTCTGGATCCGCCCCTGTCCCGTGTACTCATCTGGTTCGTGTGCGCTTTAAATAACCAATTGCATCTTTCGGAACAGTAGGGGTTACCCCGATGATATGGTTCATTTAGGCCCTGTCGTTGTCGAATGATGTGAACATGTTGCTACTTTATTATAAGCGCCTCTTTACGGCCGCTAAGTAGTCACGGACCACGCCCATACAATTCAGCACAATGAAGCTGCAAGTTATGAGTTATTCTCCTACTTTACATTTGCATATTGAAAAAAAAAAAAAAAAACTCCGGAAAGCCATATTGATTCAATTGAATTCAATTTAGTCTTTTCGAAGTGTCTATGAAATTATATAAGAGGCCCAAATACGAACATCTCAATCATGTAATTTAAATATAAATTTTAATGATAATTATGATGATAATTAATAATAATTTAAATTTGTACATAACTCTTAGCAATAATTTATATATATCAGGAGGTTTTTTTTGGTTTTTTTTGGTTTTTTTTGCAATCTTATTTTTATTTTTATAAAGCTAAATTGTGCAATTAATTTAAGAGCAGCTTAGCTCATTCGACTAATCTTGTGGTAGCCACTGTGTGTGCGCTGAACCGTGGAGATCTCTAGGTCTCCGGTTCAATTCCCATCTCTGCTCTCCTTGAATTTTAGCTGGAGGGCTGAAGGGTACAAGTTACGATAGCGCACCGTCTTTCAGATGAGACATTTAAGCCGTTGTTCCGGTGTGCATTATGGCCCATGTACACGTTAAAGAACGCAGTACACTCTTCGGAAAAGAGTAGGGGATTGTCTCCCAGTGTACTTCCAATCACCACCAGAAGGACTCCACTGAAAATAAGTCTTCTAGACTTTTGTGAGTTATCCTTGGTGTTTACACCGAAAAATCCATCCATCCATCCAACCTTCTATTTCATTTTTGGTAAATTGTTTATTTTATGGATTCTGGGCTTGTCTTTGATGTTAAAGGAATTATGGTTAAGCTAAAAGCTAGTCTGCTTTGTAGGTCGGCAGTACCTTTAGTATTAATATTATATCTCTCTAGGCCGATACGGCTTATTCAAGCCATGAGCCTTACATCGGTGCGTCGCCAGTTTGCCCTATTATAATCATCATGCGTGAGTGTGTTTAAAGTTTTATCTATGAGTTTCAGATCAATATTTATTTGTTTCAGCCATGTGTGTATTATAATATTATAATATTATATAGTATATGTAGGCACAAGGTAGGCCTATAATACAGGGAAATACAAAACAAGGAAATACAAGTTAAAGGATTTTTGAAAAAGTGAGACATACAGTAAGGGGATGATTAAGGATATTTTGTTGGGGCGAAGGGGGCGAAACGTCAAACGAAAACCAATGGCCAGAGTGAAGAAGGGTTGGCGTTTCCTTTCCTATTGTTTGCTTCCTAGGGAGCCATTTATTCATTAAACGCTCAAGTCCCTCAGGCCTATCTACATCTGGTTACATATTTTAGTACTGCCATTGGAGCCAACACTCATTTCATTACCACTGGATCCGCCACTGCATCAGTTGGAAATTTATCGTTAAAAAGAAAATTGACAAATCATATTCGCTAATCATTTAAAAATTCAAAAAATCACACATGAAATTTGATATTCACGATATAAACTTTAATCACTATATATTCTTCTTTTATATGCAAAAAGACAGACAACTCATCCATTTGCAACATACATAAGTTGACCTACTTATGAAAGAGACAACCATCCATACTTGCGATAGTTTTGACCATTATCAACAAGACAAGAATTAAAGGCAATGTCACATACAACCGGTCAAGACACTTAACCGCCCACTCTGAAGGGACTGACTGTTTCTGGAATGTGTTAATATAATATATCAGTACTTATACACAGGCTATAACATTGTATGCCTATCTGCATACATGCTTACCAAATATTAATACCCGTTGCAAATACAAATTCTAGCCATTCAAAGATGTATTGATAGGTTGTATGGTGACGAATACTAAGACATTCTGTCAATATATTATTAGAATAGGCTAGATGTTTGTACAAAAATATTAATAAACTACCCGTATTCTGTACCACAGTCACAGATTAACCATGTTGGAAGACCAGTCTTTTTTTTATTTTTATTATTACAGTTTGACTACCGATATCTGTTTAGAATATTAAATAGATTAAGATTTAACAGTCAATGCCTCATATTATTGAGGTCTGATGGATACCACAAGTATTACGTGAATAAGGCACAAAATTAACAAACTAACCATCGAAAGGTCAACCAAACAAACAATATTTCAACAGCTTTACTAGAAAGTCCAAAAAATCAGAATGCATTAAGGTCTACATCTCAAGATGAGGTAGTTTGTCCACTGTTTTGTCCATCAAAAACCGAGAGGTTTGTGTTGAATTTTTACAAAACTCACGCGCGCGAATTCGGTTGCATGTTGGTGCTCGTTTTCTGTTGTTGATCCGCGTTGGTTGTTACCACTCATATTGCAGCGGCGCAAGTGTACCAGCCACTTGTGTTCAAGGAAAAAAATATCTCTTGCAAAGTGATGCATCCTTGCAATATTCTAATTTATATCTTTTTAAGGATTAATTAGTCTTTAAGATTGCTAACACCACAGGTAAAATGTAGAAGTTCAGAAAAATGTGAGTCTCTTTCATGTGAACAGTATTATTATACCAACAGTCGTTAAAGAGTTCTACTCACTTAATGTTCTCCTTATAGATAAGGATAGCCATGTTCCATTTGATTCGGATAGTAGTGAAACTGGTTTGGAGGATTGTATGCCTCTGGCGCCATGTTGAACATGGAGCTGCCAACGTAGTCCCCGACAGAGTTATTAGGAGTCGGCAATTGTGCAGTCTCGTACTCTTGGTTACTATGTAGAAGGTCCTCTAAGGTTTTGATATAGTTTTGCGCTAAAAGAAGTGTAGAAATTTTTGACAACTTTTGCCTATTTGGACCCTTTTTCGCTTTCTTGTACGGAAGCACGCCGCGCAATCGTTCAAATGCGTCACATAGTTGATGCATGCGTTCTCGTTCTCGTTCGTTGATACGATCTCGCTTTTCGTTCGTCGACCGTCTACTGCCGTACGACTGCGAACTATCCCGGCGAGTTTGAACAGACGGAAATGAATGCAAGTCGTTCATGTTCTCGATATTGGCATTACCGAAATAGTCACCATCGTTTTGCAAGCAGTTCTCAGGAACACTATTCATGTACGAAAATGAAGGCGTTGTGACGGGTCCTTCAGACATTAGCGACGAACAAGGTCCGTTCATCAGCATCCCGTAGTCCGTGTGTGCTGACTGAAAGCACGACTGCAAAGGTGGCTTATTCTCAAATTTGCCTTTGAAATACAGAGATTCTGTCATGACGTTAAACTCAAAGTAGCCGTAAGCCTCTCGAGTGTAGTCTTCAACGACTTCAAGATTTATATGAACAGCGTTCAAATATAAGTGGTATGCTTTCTACAACAGATATGCGTCAGTGTTGAGCCGGTTTCGGATATTTCAAACAATTATTTTGAGCCTAAGTTGGAAATCTTGGAAAATCACCTAAAGGTGGGTTTCACAAGTGTTGAGCGCTACGTGTCTATGTATACATACTTGCTCACTTAATAAAGACTTGGATTATCGACCTGGAATCAACAAATTTCACACTATTGTGACAATAAACTGGCGACGGAGTGAAAAATAGTAAGTGCAACAACCAGCACAAATGCAATATTACTGAGCTACATAATTTCATTGCGTTTATTTTAATGATTCTGTTTTTAAATGGTTTTCGTCTGAGCGAGTGGGTGGAGCTTGTGCAATATATTCAACCAATGAAATATAACTACGTCTGTAAATTGTGTAAAGAATGGACTGTGCACTTAAGCGCACATAAGTGATCACTGAGTTTTTGCTCAATTGTAGAAACCAATAATAAGCGTGGATGGCTCATTGAGGGAACTTTCAAGATGTTTCCAAGCTAAAGCTTAGCACGGGCCTCAAAGACAACGACCACCACCATTGAAAATAAGTGTTTTCATGTGCTCTCTGTTTATAACATCAACGTTTATTGTTAGTTTTTATCCAATGTTGGGATGTCTCATCAAATTATTATGACAAGACTGGACCATAGTTAAGATTGTCATTATTTTCTAATTCTTAACTGTTATACCGTTACTTGTAAAGAAGATTTTTACTTGATGAAGTCCATTAAATTGCCAAATATTATCAATATGTAAACTACTAGAATAACAATACATACGAAATTTTCAATCATCAACGCCAAAAGATATCGGTGATAGCGTGTAGAAATTTTATGGAAGCAAGCTTAATACAAAGTTTGAATGATTGAACAAAAACATGTATGCAACTGTAAAAGGATTACTAGTAAACAATTATGTGGCATATCTAGGGCATGTGGGGTGGCGTCGCCCCTCCCCCAATAACAAAAACTAGATGAAATTCTTCCAACTCGTGTCCACCTTACTCCCCTCCCCCACCCCAAAAAAAATATCACAGTCAAGTTGTTAATCACCTCAAAACACCTTATTTTGCGACGAGCGTCCCCTCACCTAATCATTGATCTCCCACTTCACCTTCGCCCCTCGCCCCACCCACGTCAGCCCTCCTCCAGTTAAAGACTTCAGATACGCCACTGTTCAGCCGTCTGTACAGTTTAATCAAATCTCATATCGAACAGTTAGGTAAAATTATTCAAATTGTCTGTTAACTGACACAGCACGTTCCAAAAGGGCTACAATAATGGAAAAGTCGATGTTTCGCAACGTATTCTCCATGCTATGCGTAATCCTCGTGTGTATATTGCCGATTTATTGATTACGGTATTGATTATAAACGCGCTTTATTAAAGTAGATCTTTTGGAAATTTCCAATTTAAAGTATTTGGAATTGGACAAAAATCGGGACATTTTAATCTTTTAATCTTTCATTTGTATAAAATTATGGTTAGAGAAATCGTTATCATTATCATTATCAGTAAATAACATTATGAAATAGCATTATCTTTATTGTTTTTATCAGTCATTATGATTACCATTGACATTGTCATAATCAGAATATCATTTATATCTTGTAGAACTATTCAAATATTTATTATTATTATTATTATTCATTATAATCATTAAATAATAATAAATAAGTACCGCAATCTTCCAGAATGCCAATAAGACATATAATTTGTATTATGAGTACAAATCATGATAGGCCTATATACAATAGGCCTAGGTCTAAGCGAAACCAGAAACCTAAAAATTAATGTAGATTACTATATGGCACATTGTCACTAAATATGAGTGTTTGGATATCTTATAAGGATCGGAGCAAACGAAACGTTCCAGGTAACGCTTTCTTGTAAACCCCTTGAGATGAAGACAATTGATCCCTCTCGAACTATAGGCTGAATGTATAATTTATAGTGGGCCTTTCCCATAGAGCTATTAAACTTTCCCGAGTGTCAATTAAACTTAACAACTCACCAATCAGAACGTTGCTAAGAATACGCGTTTGTCCATGAGCACGCATGCGTCCACAAACGCACGTGTTTACGCACATTTACGCTACCTTATTTGTGGGACCTGAGCAACAATATCCAAGGGGCAAGACTTAGCGGAAAGGTTTGTTGAAGACATAGTTATGATACTACAGGCTAATTACCGTATCAAGTCAAGGCCTATAATATATAATACAGTATAATATGATTATGATTTGATGTGATATGGTGTATGATAATGATATAATATAAATATTGTTAATAAATAATAATAATAATGAAAATGAATATATTAATATGATAATGATATATTATGATATAGGCCTATTTATAATTATATTATGGCTATTATTATACAGGCCTATATTAGGAGAGGTCAGATATATATATTTTTATCATTATCATCATTTTACATAGATTATTATGTAATCAACATTGACAAAGATTGACTTTGACACTTGATAACGCTACATAAAAAAAAACTTTAAAAAAAAGATACTTTTGATTGAATATAATAAGCCTAATTTATTAAATAGGTTTACGGTAGTTTCTGTAGTTCAGTTGCAACGATGAAACAAGTTAGTGTGCGGACAACACGTTGTTTTTTTTTCTTCTCTGTTGCTAGCGGTACACAATAAACGAAATACTTACCACAAGATAAACCTGATCTCCTTGGCTAAATACTCCTTTTTATACGGGATTCGTCAAGGAGATTAAGGGGATTGTTGTGAAGAAAACAACAGCTAATTAGCAAAACAATCAATTAATATTGCTCATGCGTCGAGTTTCTTTTCACATAACGCTAAGTGGCGGTTTTGTGTCGGTAAACCATGTTTAGGATGAAATCCGGATTCGAACTAGGAGCGACCACAGTATATTCTCAAGTTTATATTACAATTCATTCAAGACGTTGTTTATTCCAAGTTTGACGTCATTTCACGTCATAGCGCCGCGAGAGTCTTCAACTTGTGGGGGCGCTTATAGGATATGGCCTTTTTAGCTAACCAAAAGTGGCTGTAGGTCCGCGTCCACTATGTCGTTAGTTCCGCGAGGGAAGGGAATATGTTCGACTCTCCTAGATTATCTGTTTAAAAAAATAGGTCTGCATAACCTCAGTCTTGGCTTAGAAAATAGCGATGAAACATTACCAAACAAATGTATGGTTTACTGGCGGATTTTAAATAAGTCCCAACAACAAGGAGGGAGTGGGGAGGGGGTCCAGACCGCCACCATGATTGGAGCTGAGGTATAATATTTATGATGGCTATGACAACTTTAGATGGTAAGAAATAGCTCACCTAAATTTCAAAATATATATCTTTTTAAAAATTTCAAATTACATATTTTTTTAAATTTGTATTAATTAAAAACTTAATTTGGGTAGGGATGTTTGTCCGTTTGACCGCTCTTAAAATCGTTTAAGGGGTCCACACTATCAAATTGTATGTGACAAATAGGCCTAAATATGATATGCCCACATTTGGGTGTAATATGACATCTCATGCCCATAATAGGTCACATACAATTTGATAGTGTGTCCCACAATACAGCTAGGAAAATAAGCCTAAAATAATTAGGATTTGTGCTCACCTGCATAATAGGTCGCACATAGGTCATTAAGTTAGGCCTATTTCAACAATCTTTAATGAGGGTAGTCCTCCCAGCCAAAACTGATTATTATGAACCCTTAATACATACAGGCAAAAGAGAGTATGAAACTATTAAATTAGTAATAATATAAATTAATTTAAATTAAGTAGCCCTAATTAAATAATGAAATGAAAAAAAAATATTATAATAATACATAAATAAATGACAGACAAATAGAAAAAAACAATAAATCAATAATCAATCAATTCTATATGATGACTGATGTTGCTCGTCTTAAACTGCGGTGGTGAGTCTTTCCTATCATTCGACACTATTTCTCCCCCCCCCCCCCCCTCCTGTTATACTCTACACTTTTGGAGTCCCTAGGAGTTCGGCTTTACCCACTAGAACCAGAACCGTATTTTTGTATCAACTGTTCTCGAATTTGGATCATTTTAAGTAAATAGTATTTATACTCTTTAGTAATATCGCTCCACATTCAACAGAATCACGACGCGCGCGAACTTGCAATCGAATGATGTTGTCATAGATCATATTCAATTAATGCATTGAACCCACGACCTTGGAAACGATCAATCTACAACTCCTTTAAAGATTAAAAGCTATCGTTCACATTCAATGTCACTTAGAGTTGTCTGAATTTTCCCACACTTGGTAACATTGTCAATGGTGTTATACCGAAGCCGGTTAATACCATTAATAATCATAATTACGCTGCTGCTGTTCTCAAATGAACTACCTACAATTAGTGTAACCACAGTGCTCGTCCTTCGGTCAGTCCACCACACCGTGCCAGGCCGCCTTTTATTGGTAATTTATAGAAAATCAACAGTGCAAATCAAATAGGAGTGGACCTACCGTACCAAATTTGAATATTAATTAGGCTTACTAAACCCTAACACACGGGTATAACGCCAGCTGTGTAATTTATATATGTGGGAAAACACTAAAGATTTGGAACTTAAATGACAGTAATGAATAATATTGAGGAGATAGATAAGATTACAATAAAAATTATTTTGGATTAATATACATTTAACTAGGTATCTAGCGATTGATACGCATCTTTGAATATATATATATATATATATATATATATATATATATAGTAAG